AATGATGCCGGGATTGAACCCGGGCCGCCGGCGTGCCAGTCGAGCACGTTGCCAATTAGACAAAGCGCTCATTCTAAGAATATAGTTTCATTAGGCGTATATATTTTGAAAGAGTATTTATAAAAAAAATTTCAAATTTGTCAATTTCACTGGATATCTTCTCGATTTTCAAAAATTAAGTTTTTAAACGATATTTCCATTGATTAGCCATTTATAAAAAGGAAATTCACCCCGTGGACTCGAATAAATTAAATCTTCGGAACAGCAGTAAATCGATATTCAAGTAGTTTAATATAATTATTGATACAGAGTTAAAATACAACATAATTGAAGATGGAAACGCCATGGTCACAGCCATTATATTGCTTAGCGCAAGTCAACGACCTGCACATGTCTTAATCTAAATGATTCTCCTAAATAAAAAATGAACTTGACAAGGTACTGGAAAATACGTATGGCCGAAGTATCAGTCGAGACTGTCTTCTGCGTAATAAGCGAGTAAAATTAATTAGAAAACCCGTAATTGGGATGTCGACATAACCGCGACATAACACTTGATTAGAAACATATGGTATCCTTGGCTGGTGTCACATGCTACCGAATATCTTTCGTCCTTTGGTGACGGACATGGAGACGACGATGACACTCAGTATAAAGAAGACTAGCCCGAAGAGTGCGGTGAGGGCACGACACCACTGTCTACGACGTTTTGCTCGTGCTATTGTACGACCCAGTCTCTCAGCACGTGCCCCATCCAGGGTGAAATCCAAGTGTTTATTACAAACAGTGATTTCTTGATTCCAGGGGGACTTCCTCGGGGGATCCCCCACAGCACCGTAGGCCGAGGACTCGTCGCTCGGGTCCAGCTGTCATTGAAAAAAATTATTATCATCATCATGAATGAGAAATTCATTAATTAATGTTTAAAATATTGTGAGAATTGTTTTAAACGATAGGATGAACTAACCGTCGAGTACACAGGTTCATTAGAGGGATAGCACCCCTTGACTGTGTTCCCTTCCATCCTGGAGGGTGCCCTCTTCCTCTTGTTCTCGTCCTTCCTGGGTGTGGGATTCCCCCCATCCTTGGCACTCTTCCCAGCGCACCGAACAATTCCCCCTGGGCAAATTCCATGACACCGTGGCACAAGAAAAAGAGCTGGTAGAGTCTTTCCCTCGGGATTACCCTGGGAGGACGTAATCCCTCCGGGATTTGTTGTCCAAGTTCTTCCATAGAGTCTCCAATTAACGGGATTAACTGAATCCTTTCCCACTCCACTGGACAGGGTAGACGAATGCCTATACACGTGCTCCTCTCCTGAGCTTCTCTGGATCCCCTGAATCCCCTGGGCAACGGTCTTGGAGATGTCCCTGAGGACCTCTTCGGCAGTCATGACACTGGCTCCATCGATGACTGATGTCAGGGTCCTCGATAATTCCAGGAGGACATCCCTGGCGGATCCTCCTGGAGCCGTGCTATCACGACAGGTTGTTCTGCACTTGTTGGAACGGGGACAGATCCTGGTGTAACCGCAGTACTTGCACAGGCTCTCCTCGTGGCCCTCGAAATTGCAATCGCGATTACCTAGCGATGGCCAAATTGGTCGTGGAATCTCTGCCTCGTGGATCAC